AACTGTTATAGCCCATATTTTAATAATATGTATGCATTAAGTCCATAGTAACTACATTAATTGCAAAAAAGTGCAATAAACTACAAAAAAAATTGAAAATCGTTTTTGTTTTTTTACATATATTTCTACTTGGAGAAATTTAAGAGGTTTATCCCTCAAAACTTTAAATACAAAAAAGTTGCAAAAAATAGTTTACAACAACAGGAAATTTATTTTGAGTGTCTTCATAGTTTTATTTTGGAGATACAGCAATTTTTATATACACTGCAGGAAAAAACGAAAAAACAATCCTATGATGCAAATTTGCAAAGAAAACAGCATGTGCATCAAAATAAACTATTTCCAGCAGTGCAATTTGAGTTCTAAGCATCTCAGAAACTATTCAGAAAAGTCAAACATGACCAGTATAGGCTTTTAAGGCCTACAAGTAAAAAACTACATTTTCCGCGAAAATGACATCACTTCCGGTTTCGGGCAGGAAATGGCGGATATGTGATAGTTCGCACTGACGTCTGTTTCACTGTAGGAAGTGTTATGAACAGCTGATCGGATCGGCAAAGCGTGTTTCTGGAATATTATGTTTTTGTTCCTGCAAGCGCTTTTTATGCAATTTTTGCAAAGCTTTATGTGGAAGGAAACCATGACCGAGGACAAGCTGATGGCATCAGATGTAAGTACAACTCCTCCGGTTTCATATGCAAAACAAATTATTGCGCTAGCTTACACGGTTCAGGTTCTACAGGGATTTAAAAATAGTTACACAAAACGGAGCGTGCTGCTCTGACCGGCTTTAAAGGGTTAACAATAACAATGTATTGAATAATGACTTTAAAAAATAATATAAAATAGTGTGCAACACCACTGAAGTTTTTTTTTTAACCTCTCTTTTCAACCAACAGCAGTCACTCTCCTCTCCAAATAACTTCTGCTTAGCTTTCCGAGCTTCCCTCGGGTCCTCTTAATCAGCGGTCTCCAACCTTTTTTGCGCCACGGACCGGTTTATGCCCGACAATATTTTCACGGACCGGCCTTTAAGGTGTCGCGGATAAATGCAACAAAATAAAACCGGTACCGAAAAAAAGATGATTTATTCATAACACACGTGAAAAGACCGAGGAAAACCGAGTTAACAATCAAAACGATAACAAAATAACGCTGAAAACCGATAAAACCCCTGAAAACCAGACATTTCACACCTGAGCCTCAACTCTCGCGGCCCGGTACCAAACGACTCACGGACCGGTACCAGTCCAAGGCCCGGGGGTTGGGGACCGCCGCTCTTAATTGTTGTGACGCGTGTTCGAAATGCAGAGAGGTGCGCTGGATTTGCCACACGGAGCAGCGCAAGAGTAAAGCACGAGGGAGGGGCTAATAATCGGCTCAGTCATTTTTAATGATCGTTGAAAGCCCCGATCGTAATTGTGATTAAAATTCGATTAATTGAGCAGCCCTATCCTAAACCCTCCTCTACCTGGTCAGGTTATTTTTAACACTGAAAAATGCAAACACTTTTAACTTTGAGAGAACAAAATTCCTATTTTTGTGCTTTTAAATGCATTATTATTATTACTTTCTTTAAAAACGTCACGTGCTTCTCTTTCTGGACATACCATTTGTGCACTCATTTAAATGTTACAGCTGATATTGTTAGAAAGGTCAAACCTAACATGTGGCTGGCATTTTATTTTGAAAATCCTGGCGACACTCTCACAGGTCTCATATGCCCGTCTTTATTGTGAGTGTGAGGGCTAAACCTCCAAAGGGCCAATCAACAGATTAACAAACCGGCACTTAACATGTAAATCCTCAGTCAGAAATTAAATCCAGCGCCTTTAAAGGGATTTATGGACGGAAGAAAGGCGCCGAGAGGGAGAGGTGGAGAGGGGGAGGTTTGGTGTGTGCGCGGGGTTAAAATAAGAACAACAGAACAAAGACAAGAGGAGAGAAAAGACAGGGAGCAGATGGAGCACAATATGTGGACACACCCACAGTAAAAAAAAAGCTTCTGCGGCACCAGAGTCCAGAGGAAAGATGTCTAATTTAACCACTTTAGCTAATTTCACTGTTTTTATGTGAGAAACTCCTGATTTCATGTGACCCTCTATGCTGAGAGGTGGAGCGCGAGAAGCTGGCACAGAGAGCGAAGCTTAACCGGGTGAAGCAAAGCTGGATGATCCTTCAAAGGGTTAAACAGTAAAGTCCCAGAGAGGCTTCAAACAGCCTTCAGAGTCTGAACACACACACACACACACACACACACACACACACACACACACACACACACTATTGTTTTCTAACTGGTAATTTTCTGGTTTGGCAGGAAACAATGATCCTGCTTCCAGCACACACACAAACACACTCAGCTGCTGATTAACCTGCCGTTAAAGAGCGAGTGTGTGTGAATCTGTTATTTATTTATCCTTAAGTCTTCCTGAGTGTCTGTTTGTGTAAACTTCAGTCGACTGCACACACGCTCACGAGGCTGCTGAGGTTTAATACGGTCGTGAGTTCCTCCAATGTCCACTCGAGACTAAAGCGCCGACTCCATCCTCGGACTAAAACGTCCATGTTTACAGCACAAATGAATACAATCAGTCTGAGACAAAAACACTGTGAAACAGAAGTGTAGTGGTTTATTGAGGCAGAGATGCAGATTAATGACAGAGGCAGGAGGTGTTAGAGAAACATGAGGACGTGTGTATAAGAACCTCAGAAGCCGTCACTCAAAGCATTTTAGGCCTAGTTCAGAGTTTCTGTGGAGACAGGTGTTGTTTTACAGGTGGTGGAGTTCCACAGGGCTTCATTATCGGTCCTCTACTTTTTATTCACATGTAATTATGCTCGTTTCTAACAGCACAACTGTGAAGGAGGATGAATGCCTTAATAACTCAGCTGTTTAAACTGTAACAAGGCTTAAAGTTTGCATTATTAGGGTTGTAGCTAAGTTTTTGCTGTTGGAGCCTTTTTGAGCATTTTTAATGGCACTACCTGACCAATGACATGGCTGCCAGAAGTCTCGGCTCCGGTTTTAATGAGTGAAATGTTACCGAGCAGGTATCTGTAGATCAATAACCCTGCAGTTAAACCATTTATCAGCTATCAAACAGTTTGTTGTTTCAGCTCTCAGACCCTCGGCCCCTGCGTCTCTACTTCCTGTCCTCTTCCTGTTGGGGAGGGGGGTCACGTGACAGTCAGCTGCTCCTTTGTGTTGACAAACGGCATGATAGATAAGGTATTGGTAACCAGTCACATGCTGATCTGAATCAGCTGCAGCACTGTTGGTTTCCTGCCTGCTGGTTTTAAACTGGCTCCCCTCAGCGGGTATCAGCACGCATGTTTAACAGTTTTAAAGCTGGTTTAGGTTTTTTGGGGCGTCAACAGGCGCTCTGGAAACAGCAGCTTCTCTGATCACATGACCGCTTTATCAGGAAAACTAAACCGTGTCACATTTAGCCTGGCTGGTCCTAATAAACCGGCGAGCTTCTGCTCTCTGAGCTAACACAGCCTGAAAGTGCTAACGCTGATTTGTTATCTCCAGATGGCCCTGAAGCTAAAAACTGAATTTAAACACGGTGGAGTCGCGTGATGACAGAAGGATGATTGTTTTTACTGCTGCTCAGACACAGCACTGAACGTGTAAGAGGATTCCTGATCAATAACCAATAAATCCTCGAGTCAGCTGCAGTAAAAAGCTCCAGAGCTCTGTCTGAGCTGGGCTGATCTGTGGCCACATCAGCCCAGGTGGGAGCTCAGCTCAGCCTGGGCTCCTCTCACGTTAGAGCTCAACAACAAAAACCAGAGAAGCGCTGGAGCCGACTGAGCGCGCTCAGACAGCGTCCTGCTCGGTCACAGCCGATGACAGGCTCACGGTAAACTGTGAGTGTGCGCTCTCAGAGACTACTGATTTTTTCTGTTTATTTCTCAGTGAACAGGATGCTTCCTCGTTTCTTATCGTTTTATTCTCACGTGTTTATTTATTTCCCCCTGTGTTTGCTGTCCTGATGTCTGATTGGCTCTTTTAGATTTTATCAAGATAAAACACGTTAACAAAATGTTTGACACTTTTATAAAAGCACAAAAGTTTTCAGTTTAAGTTTTACTGTAACGCACAAAATATAAAAGGTTGGATTTTTGAGTGAATCTGATTTCTAATCTGATCAGCACAAACATTTCTACACACTTTATCTTCTAAACAGCAACTTTAAGTCACAGTTGAGATTTTTCTCATGTTTTACGTTTGTGTTGTGTTAAAACTAAAACAGTGAGAACACAAACACGTTCAGCTGTTTCCACCTAAAGCCTCAAACTGTCTGCTGTTCTGTTTTCCTCGACCTTGACCTTTGACCTGCCGTGTGTCCCGCTCACAGCCACAGCTAACATGTCATTACTGTGGAGGCTCCTTAGAATGAGTGAAGAAGTAAACCGCAGAGCCACAACAACACAACAACAGCCCTCATCAGACCCTCAGAGCCACACGGCTCCACGCCGTCGCCCTGCAGAGGCTCACAGAGGCGGGGAGGCTGACCCGCAGCCTCGGTATGAGCAACGGACCCAAGCAGGTAAAGGTGTGCACAGCTCACTACCTGCACCTGCTTACAGGCACAAGGTCTTCTCACTGTGCAGTGTCTGAGAATCCTATTTATCATAAACCACAGGGTCAAACCCTGAACACAGACCTGCTGATGGGACAGACGGAGCGATGAAACCCGAGTTTACTGCAGTAAAGACGGATTTCACTGCCGCTCAGACTCTGCTGCAGTAAAAGCACGTCAGTCGTACATTTGTGTACTTTTGTGTGAATATTTGTCAAACTTCTCTGAGCTGAATGTAAAAACGTATTAACCACAGAAGAAGAAGAAAGGGGTCCGGTTTCCCCTCCGAGGTGTGTGACTGAACCTCTCTCTGAGGATCGATGTAACATTACGTCATCGTTTCTGGGCCGATGCAGTCTGATCGATCAGCAGCTGTGGTCGATAACGAGTGTATTGATCAGTACTCACCTTCCTCCGCCCTGCAGGAGCCCAGCAGCACCGCCAGCAGCGGGAGGAGCAGCAGCCCGCGGCAGGAGGAGGCCCGGCCGTGGGCCACGGGGCCCCGCTGAGCCCCCATTACTCCCATTGCACCTATCGATCACCGATCACTGACGTCAGCTGGGCTCGGTCTCCGCCGGCCGCGCGCGCCTCATTGGAGCCGAAAAGTTCGAGAAAAAGAAAAAAGTCCTCAAAGTGTCCAAGATGGAGGCCGGAGGGAGTCACGGCACCCGGCTCCTTCAGCCGCTCCGAGCTCTCAGCCTGCTCTCTGCTCCCACCCGGCTCCCCCTCATTCCTCCATCCCCTCCTCCTCTCTCCTCCAGCGTAGAGCAGCGGGGCGCGGCTGCCTGCGAGGCCGTCTGAGGAGCAGCGAGAGGCGGCTTGGAGAGCGCACAGGGGTCGGTGGGACAGCTGGAGGTGGGGGTCCCGAACCACAGACACACTCACACACGCCAAGCCGCAGTCACAGTCACACGGACACCGCGGACACACACTCTCGGAGCTCACACCAGCGCTCCCAGTGCTTCCAGTCTGCGGCTCCAGCTCACACGCGCACAAAAAGTTGAGAACAAAAGCTGCTCCAACTTTCTGCCTCCACCTCTGGATGAGACCACGCCCACACACCCGCAGCCGCAGTGTGAGTGGCTGAAGGAGCCTGCCATTCCAAAGGGGGCGGGGCTCAGCGAAGACAGTCTGTGAAGGAATGTGGAGAGAACGTGTCTGCGCATGTCTGTTTTTGAAGCCTGGAGACCAAATCGACCAAAACCTTCAAATTCCTTAAAAAAGCAGGGACGGATCTATACGCGCGGCAATGTGCCCGATTTGTGGCGCTTATCGCAAAGTGTGTAGTTAGTGTGTTGTGTTGTGTTGTGTAGTTTGTTGTGTAGTCACTGTATTGTTTCGTGTGACAATGAGAGTAATAATGAATGTCACAAAGCAGTGTAAACTGTCTCCAGGTCGAAATCCAGACTGTTGTCAAGGTTTATCCCCGTGGTGTTCTCCTGTGTCCTGTTTTTACCGGCACACATAATTTGTGGGCATCTTATCGCGACACCTGATTGTTTTGGTTTAGTTTTAGTAGTATTTTAAATGGTTGTACAACAAACGGAAGATGCATTGGCTGCATGTTTAGATAAATAGCTGTTTATAAGCTTATTTTTTACCAAAATGTGTGCAGAAAATAATTTACTAAACATGTGGTTTTTACAAAACATATAACTAATAGTAGGATTTTATGTTTTTGTGTGATTTCACATCAGTTGTGTTACTACAGAATGTCAATAAAAAAAACAACTGAAAATTCAGACACGTGAGTTTGAGCCGGAAAGAATGATCCCAAGCAAGGCAGCGGAGAAAGGATAAAATACAAATGGAAAATCAAAGCGAGTCAAAATGGCCAATTATATTCTGGACCTCAGAGGGTTGATCCAACAAATCCTGACAAATTTGGCTTCAGATTTTGTTCATGACATCTTTTGTTTTCAAACAAAAAAAGGTGAAACTTAAGTGAGACTTGTGTTTGTAATGAACCGCCCCATGGCTACATGTTTATTTATTATACAGGCGACACAGTAAATACAATGAAAACTCACATGTTTAATTTAACTGAGATGTTCATTCATGTGAGCTGAGAAAATAGACTGTATTTATATCAAACGTGTAAACCTACTGCACTTGAATCATTTTAAACACATGTACCTGCACATGTGTGTTTTTTAAAAGCTTTCATTTTGCCACCCTAAGAAAATTTCTCTAGTTCAGCTCCTGAAAAATTAAAGAAATTAAATAAAATATGAACAAAATGATCAAACCAGCTTTAATAAAAGTCTAAACAAATCATATTTTCTGTGTTTTAATCTGTCTGTTGTCTTTGTAATCAGGGCTGAATCATCAGTTATAAAAAAAGCTGATGAACACACATGATACTGACACATATCTGCATCACTGTGCTCCGCTTTATTACTTTATTACACATTTATTATACATTTATTACACTTTGTCTTATTTATTCCTGATGGTTCTAATCAGTGGTCAGTACTCTTGACAGTGGGAAAAAGTCACATTTCAGCTTGACGAGAAGTCCTGTGTGTGTGTGTGTGTGAGTGAAAGAGAGAGAGACTGTGCTGATGTTGTTTCTGGTTCGTTTTCTCCACATTAAAGATAAAACAGCAGAAACTGAAGCAGGGTTCCTCTCTCTCTCTCTCTCTGGGTGTTTGTTATGTAAATGTCTCTCGTCCTGTCTGACAAACTGAATCCACACCTGAGGAGGAGGACACTCCTCAGCAGCCATGCTTTCACTCTCAGGTAGTTTCTGACCTCCTGCAGAAACAGTCACACCTGCAGTGACTCCCCAAACATGGAGGGAAGGAGCTGCACTGCCTCCTTTATTGCATTCTTTAGCTGAGGAGACACTGGAGCCTCCTTTAGGGAAGGACAGGAGATAAATCTATCCCATAATCCTCAGCGGCACGGCCTCGGATTGTTCATGAAAACGAACATCAGCACGACTGTTGAAGAGTTTCCAGCAGTTTGTTGTGAGGAGGAGGTGAAGTGTTTTCTGGATGTTTGGAGTTAAACTGGTCAGACTGGTGAGGATCCAGGTTTCCGTTTTAACTGTCACGTTAAAGGGGGCGGGGTTACAGTCAGGCTGAAGTTTCTCACCTGCAGCTCCATGAAGACAGGTGAGAGCGGGCGAGAGACATTCAGTCCCGACAGAGAGAGAGATGAAAGGAGGCCGAGAGCTCCTCTTTCTCCCAGTCTGAGGACAAAAGACAGAGTCAGGTGTCCTCCTCCTCCTGCTGCTGCTCTTTGTCGGCAGAGGTGTGAGCGGCCCGGAGAACAAAGCAAGGAGAGGAAGAGGAGGAGGAGGAAGGATGGAGAGGAGAGGAGGCCTGTGGGAAACTGTCACCTGACTGACGAGCGGACACGTCTGACAGACAGGTGAGAGTCCCGCCCCCCAGTGAAGACACGACGATTCAAAATGCAGAAATAAAAATGATCTTCAATTAAATTAAATTGAAAAGGTGAAAAACAAAACAAAATGAATTTAAAATGACAAAAAAATATAGCAAGAGAGTCGAAATTAAAATGATTTCCTAAAATAAAAAAAAGTCAGATAAATCGGAAAAATCAAGAATTTAAAAGTTTAAAACCTAAAACTTAATATTATCAGAAGTGAAAAGAAATAAAATCAGAACTGCAGAAAAAAATGAAACAGAGAAATTTTTAAAATAACTAAAAACGATTGAAACAAATAAGATAAATAAAAATAAGGGATTAGTAAATAACAACGAAAAAGACAGAAAAACTATTATGAAAGAGACCAAATATTATTTATATTTTATTTTTAATTAGTGAAAAAAATATTAAAAAGGTTAAAAAATATAAAAATCATAAAAAGTTTTTTATTTAAAAAAGAAATGAAACAATTAAACTGCACACAAATTAAAAAAAAACTAAATTTTTTTAAATAGAGGTAATATAAAATATGTACTTATAAAAAAACAAAATGGGAAACACAAAACGCAGAAATAAAGTAAAAATAAAGAATAAATAAATACTAACTGAGAAAAGGGATTTTTTTAATTAAAAGAACAAAAACAAAAAAAAGAAAATGATTTAAAAAAAATCATAAAAAATAGGAAACGTTTAAAATATAAGATTAAAACCCACCTGGAAATAAAAACAAATAAAGTAAAAAGAAAAGATCTAATAAAACTTTTGCTAAGCAGAAACTGTAACGACCTCAACACCGGCAGAGCCTGAGATGGTCTGAGCGTGTGCAGAGGAGGGATGGGGGGGTGGAGCTGCAAGCAGGGGAAACACAGGAAGAGCTCAGATTCATGGGTGAAGGAGGGTCGCTGAGACGGAGAACATCCACTTTCTTATTCCTTAATAAAGAGTCCAGATGAAAAAGTGGACTTCACGCCTCCCCTCTCTCACTCAGTAACAGTGAGTGTCGGTCGTCCCATGTGACCTGGCAGTGGAAACGTCCCTCCAGCCTTTGGTCTCCTCTCGCAGCAGATCAGCCACAGACGACACTTCAAAGTAACAACACTGACAGTGGCCTGTCGCTTCATCACGGAAAACGTTTAAGTCAGAAAAGGCCAACTCAGCCGTCGAGCACTTTAAGACAGTGGGTAGCTGCACTTCCTGTTGCACAGCTTGAAGCGTTTCTAAGCGCCTCCATGAAAGGCGACTTTTTTAAACTCCTTTATTTCTGTAGACAGACGGAGAGACGCCGGTCTGCGCGGACACATTAGATAAAACCTTCAAAGCAGCGCTCAGAGAGGAGACTCAGGCTGTGCCACACCCCCTGAGGATCTGACCTTTGACCTCAAACTTAAACCCAGAATCGCCCTGACTGTGAGCACTCAGCTCACTGCTGAGTCTGTGTCTCCCTCTGCTGGACACTCGGGGAACTGCACCCACAAAGTGACCCATGGTATTGGTGTGATTGATCTGTGGTTATTTTAGCATCAAAGAGACAACGACAGTGAGGAGACAAAATGAAAACTTTATTAACATAACAGACACGTGAGTGGAACGGAGCACGCTCAGTGTGTGGAGAACTTGGGCAGCTGGTTTCCCAGGATGACGCGTCGCTCCACCCCCTCCTCCGAGATGCTGGCCAGCCTGACCACGCCCCCGCTGGAGCCGTCCCGCTCCATGGCCAGAGACAGAGCTGAGGAGAGACAGTGAGTCAGCGAGACGGTTGTGGAGTGCAGCTCCCAGCATGCCTTGCAGCAGCGGCGGTGCGTTACCTGCGGCGGTGATCTCCATGCACTGCTCTTTGTTCATCCCGGGTTTGTAGTTGGCGTCCATGAAGCCGTAGATGTAGGTGCTGCCGCTGCCGCCCACCGACACCGGCTGCCTCACCAACATCCCACCAATGGGGACGCTGTACACCTGAGACAGGTAACACACAGACGATGCTTTACAGTCTGCAGGGTGGAAACAGCACCATCTGCTGGCCACACAAAGGACTACACCAGCACATGTGTCCAGGCGGTGTGCGGTCTCACCTGCCCGCCCTTCCTCTTGTCCCAGCCTGCCACCAGGATCCCAGCTGTCAGCTCCTCCCTGTAACGGTAGCAGCTCGCTCTGAACAGATTGGCTGCCGTCTCCACCAATGGGGGCTCGTCCAGCTCGATGCTGTGGGCGGGGCCAAAGACACAGGTGAGTATTGGCCTCACCTGAGCTGACAGGAAGGCTGTGCAAAGCTGTGTGTGTTACCTGTGGAAGCCCAGCTGGTAGGCGACGACCTCAGCGATGGCCTGAGTATCAGCAGCTGATCCAGACCTGCAGGCAGAACACAAACATGACGTCTGCTGAGGAGCCGCTCATCAGGAGGGCAAGAGTTTCTCAGACAAGTTCTCAAGGTGCTACAGAAACATCAGGCATCTCAAAGGTTCAACAGACCCCCCTTCTTCAAATCCGACAAAGTGGTGTCAAATGTTTGTGCCGCTATCATTTTAAAAACATTTTAGAAAGAACATTTCTACAGAAAGTTGGTGCGTATCAGTCGGAGCCCAATTAAAGGCCATTTAGGTTCTGCTGAACGTGCACTCCTGTTCATTTTATACAACTTGCTGGCCCACGCGCTAATGTCAGTTAATATTAGCATTTCAGCTAACTTTGATGTAAAAGCTACAGTTCACTTACTATTAGCTTAATGTTAGTTAACCTGTTAACATGCTAGTGATAACCCACATGCTACCATTAGCAATAATTAGCCTTTACCCTGCTGGTACCACACTAGATGGAGTAACGTAATATATATATATATATATATATAAACACTTACCTTTTCACCCACACAAGACAATGCAACAGATAGAAAGACCTTCACTAAGGGCCTGCAGGGAAACCTACAATATTTTGGAAATTTCCATCACATTGAGCAAAGACAGACAAACTATCTGTTTTTGTAAGCCGTTTGATGCTCCAACCTGAGGCCTGCTGGACCTGACTGGTCAACAGAAACTGCAATTCGGGCTTGACTGATACGCACCAACTGGCAGGCCCCTTTAAATTTCTTCAGAAAAGTTCTTGTTAATATTATTTAAGATGATAGTGGCACAGAAATTTAATAAGAAGCCCAGAGATCCTAAACTTGGTCCCAGGCTTTAGATCCCTTCATGTCTCTGTGGTTTTCAGGGTTGCTAAAGCAGTTACTTTGTGTTCCTGCAAGGCTACAGAGTCCCTAAAATGCCCTGACTGCAGACTGTGGGTTTCTGTGAGGACTGCAGATTCTAACCTAGTTTATTTTGAAAGACTGAGCTTCCTGAGATTAAAAACATAGCTGTTTTATTCTGAAAGGTTTTCTGTGCTCTGATTAGAGTTCCTGTGATGGAGCCCAGTGAGCAGGACTGACCTGCAGCAGTAGATCTTGTCGTGGATGCGAGTCAGTTTGTCTGTGACTCTGTTGGCGATGTACGCTCTGAAACAAACACAGACAGGTGAGGTTAAAGGAGTGTTTCCTGCACTCATCATCACGTGTTCAGTGTTTGTTTTCTCACCCTGTAGTGGTGCGAGAGTCGGCCCCGATCACCACTCCTCCGTCATACTCCACGGCCATGATGGTGGTCTGACACACGACAACAAACAAACAGGTAAACGGGCTGATAAACACCCTGCACTCATTATCGGACAGCATCTCTCCTGTTTAAACTCTCAGCTTCATCACCCTCCGTGTTCCTCCTCCTCAGACTGTTAAATGACTCGTTTGTCGGGTGAGCTCATTATCGGACAAGCCATTTAAGCCACATTGAAAACGCTCAAGTGAGAAAAACAAAGAAATGTTAAAGTCTGTCCCATAATGCAACCATAGCGTTACCCAGCTCTCCACGCGTCCCTGTAGTTATTTAAATATCTTTCATCAACCACCCGATACACGTGTGTCTCCGCGGACTCTACCCCCCAGTTTAGCCCGGTCCGGTCCCGCTGTGCTCCGAATCTCCTCACAAACACAGCTACCGTTAGCCGCTGTTAGCTGCTGCAGAACTGCTGTCTCATTCAGCCGCTACCTGCCGTTTAAAGACGCTCCACCGGGACCGAACCGGGCCTGGTTCGGTCCGGCCCAACACCACAGCTACACGTACATACCCCGGTGCTGACTTCCTGGCGGGTCCAGTCCGGGACCAGGTCACTTTTGGACGAAATTTGCTGGCCGAAGTACGGCATCATTACCGGTGCTGCCGCCATCTTCTCTCTATAAATAACTGGACTCAGTAGAGGCTGTCCGCGCATAAAGCCTAACAATATTTTATTTACGCTATTAGCGGAATATCCATGTTACAAACCAACTCGCATATGATTAAATTACAAGTTAGATTTAATAACTCAACCTTCTTTCAATTCAGAGAGTCTAACTTAGCTGTATAAATTTCCTCGAAACAGTTTTATTCGGGCACTTGAGTCAACAGCTCTGCAGTTGGGGTCCTGCGAGAAACAGGAAGATAAGGTAAACACTGAGCTGGATTAGAAAAACGTCGACTAAACCTGATTATAACGATTATTTTAAAACATTTAACGTGTTTTTCTCCTTTAAATGGAGTAATTAAACATATTAGAGAAAGCTGGTGTGTTTAAATGAGGTTAACCGATAATTTAGTGGCTGTTGTGTTACGTCTGAGCATCGCGGAGGACCAGACTACAATAAAAAATGTGCAATTTTATCCCTGGTATTTAAAACTTTGCAGTAAAAAGATTACCCACGGGACAGAAAGTAATGTTAACACTTTTTATGTTGTGGAGGAGTTCGTCTTTGATTCAGCATACCCCGAGCCACTGAGTGATCATCGGTGGATGTCTTAATTGATTTGTGATCGGCTGTGTTGCAGATGACGGTTCATAACTTGTACATATTTGACCGCAATGGAAACTGTTTGTATTACAACGAGTGGAACCGCAAGAAGCAGGCGGGCATCTCCAAGGAGGAGGTGAGCCTCAAAACCAATCAGCAATCAATAAATCAGACACGGAGAGTGTGTGTGAAGGAAAGGTGTGTTTATGTGTGTCTGCAGGAGTTCAAGCTGATGTACGGGATGCTCTTCTCCATCCGCTCCTTCGTCAGCAAGATGTCTCCTCTGGACATGTATCCTTCACATCACCTGTCAATATGTCCTCCTGATAGTCTGTCTGTCCACCTGTCCTCCTGTCTGTGGTCCTTATCTGTGCTCAGGAAGGAGGGGTTCCTGTCCTTTCAGACCAGTAAGTATCGTCTTCATTACTACGAGACACCGAGCGGCCTGAAGTTCGTCTTGAACACCGACCTGTCAGTGACCAACGCCAGGGACACACTGCAGCACATCTACAGCAATGTGAGACACACACACACCTATGAGTGGGTTCATCTATAGAACCAGCAGGCTGAACTGCAGCTTTTCGTTGAATTATGTGAAATTTAATCTGCTTTCTCAAAGAATCTTTTAAGAGTTGAAGTTGGAAAATGAGAGAGAACAACACGTTGAATCATGGTTATAATATAAACAGAAATCTGCTCGTTCTATAACGGCCATCAGGATTCGGTCCATGAGAGACCAGAGATTATCACACCGAGGCTGAACTAAAATGTTTTTTTTACCCAGAATTCATTCACCTGAAGGGTTGAGCTGACAGATTTCATTTGTCACATATTAACGTTTAATTCTTTAGTTCAGATCTTTGTGTGTTACAAACTTTACTCTTCAAATGTTGATGTGTGTTTTTTTTTTAATCTTGTCAGTTTGGTTTTGTTCTGAATCCAAAGGGACGGGCTATAATATTAATAATAATCATCTGTGAGCTGCTGTTTTCTGTCTGTGCTAAACAGGAAGTGTTGCAGGCTTTATTGTGAAAGAGACTTACACTGTGTGTGTGTGTGTGTGTGTGTGTGTGTGTGTGTGTGTGTGTGTGTGTGTGTTTGTTTGTCAGCTGTACGTGGAGCTAATCGTGAAGAACCCGGTTTGTACATCCACGCAGACCTTGGAGAGCGAGCTGTTCAGCAGCCGACTGGACGCCTTCATCAGAGCACTGCCGTACTACAGCCCACGAGCCGCCTGAGCGTCACACACACACACACACACACACACGTTCACACTGAGAGTTTAATGTATTTATTTTGTTCTTTCATGTCCTTGGCAGGAAGTTTTGTCTTTTGAATTAAACGTATATGAAGCCACTCTGACCTTTGACCTTTAATAAAAGCAGCTCTGTGGAACTTCCTGGAAACTGTCGTTACTCTCTGCTGATGCTCACACCCGGAGTTTATGATGATGTCTCTGCAGTGATCCCTGTGTGCACAGTGCTGATGGTTTAAACTGTGCTGACTGGGTGGTACCACTGGGGGGCGCTGCTGCTGGCTGTGAGCTCACGAAGTGCAGCACAGCAGATAAATTGAGCCTTTGTGAACTCTGCAGAAGTACACTGCCTGAGGGAATTACCCAGAATGCATAGCGCAGACTTGCCCTCTGACCCTCGTTATTGCGTGTAGCGTTATGTCTGTCACGTCACGTGACTCATAGCCTGTGTGAGGGATGTGAGTCTGTGAACATCCTGCTGATAAACCCAGAGTTTGATCCTGTAACAGCTGAAGAAATCAGTGTGAATGATGGTGGAAGCGCTCGTGTGATCGACCCTCAGAAACCTGCTCTGATTGAACACACACAGTTAACATGTGAGTGATGTAACTGGCCTGAGGTCTGCTGACTGATTAACAGCTGGATTCAGTCTGAGCTGACCCCGCCCCCTCCACATGCTGTCCTTCAGCTGTAGGAAGCAGCTCCGATACCGGAGTCTCCATCAACACCTGAACACTTCGCCTGACCTGCTGAACACACGACTGTGGACAAAGAAGGCCTGATCAGTCAATCAATCAGAAACAACCTGCTGAACCGCCTGACTCATCAGACAAACACACAGCTTCTATCAGATGCTTTTGATCATTTTTCAAGTGCATTGTGGGTAAAGCGCTATATAAATACAGGCCATTTACCATTTACCATTTAATACAAGCAGAGGCAAAAATTAGGCGGAGCCGCAGATGAAGTGATGACATCATCATGATTGGAGTGTGTGTGTGTCCACAGTGTAATCTCTAATCCCACTGAAAAACATACTGCCAACAAACAGCTGGAAACACACACGTTGGTCTTTGCATACATGTGAGGACCATCTTGCAAACAGTCACGAGTACAGACAGACAGACAGTTGCAGACAGATGTGTGGACTAGGAAACATGTTTATGTAGCACTTTTGTATCCATCATAATGTCCTTACATGTAGAAATGTCCTCACTAAAGTGACTAAACCCTGTCCTCAAGAAGAAATCTTTCAAGTCCCCACTTCACAGGGATTTCTGCCTTTAAGTGGGGACTTAAAAATGTCCTCATAAACAAAAGTCCCTGGTGTGTTCAGATACAATGGTTCGTGTTTCTCCAACATCTGTACGGTTCTTAAACACTGATCTTTGTGCTCACAGAGAAATCTGTGCTTTTGTTTCTTTACAGGAAAGTGTCCAAGAATCTAAAAATGTCCTCAACTTATAAAGATTTCCTCTCCTTGTCCTCACTTTGTAAAAATAAACTAAGATTTAAAACACTTTACTTATTCTCAAACTCGGTGGATTCCTGTGCGAGGCAGGAATACAATCTGATACAATCTGGATGTTAAATCTAAAATCAAGCAGGTGTTGTGAGCTGGTAAAGATTTCCCGTGTGTGTGTCAGAGCAGCTACAAACTGCAGAGGCTGGTCAGGATCCATGATTTATCCACACCCATGCAGCACAGCCGCAGTCCTTTGGATGACCTCTGTGTCAGCAGATCGAGGTCAAACAGGTCTGTGTTGTAACTGAGACACCGAGTGTCAGTGGGATCACCTGTGTAAACGAAATATAAATACAGGACTTAAACTGTGCTGATTAAACACAGGATTCAGGTGTGACTGAGTAATATGGACACATGCAGTTCAGTATTAAAGCCACAGAAACATTTATTTACCCTAAAATGTCTGAGTTTACAACACTTTAAATAACGTGTGCAGTTACTGTGACTCAGGTTAACATCCCTGCCCCTGAAAATGGTACGGTCCTTTGCCAGGATTGTAATGTGGAAAAAAACACTGTTAAACGTGCAAAACTTGACCTCACGAAACAAAAAGTATCAGTGTTACCGTCACAGGAATCACAACGAGCAAGAAAAATCAGTGTGAGCAGGTGAAACAATTTCCCTTCACTCGTCTGAGATATAACAATCTGTATATAAAAATAAAGAGATAATAATTTCCATCATGTCCTGCGGCTGGCCTCCTCATACGACCTCAACCAGCTCCTCTCGATGTGGAGGAGAGGAGGGGACATATTAAGGCAGCCGTAAAACCCCACCCTGTGGTCATGGGGGTTTCCCTCAGGTGTCAGTGAACACAGGGCTATTATAACTTCTGTGTGTGTGCCGTCTCTGCCAGATGTTTGCATCTCAGGGTTTAAAATGAAATCTGTGGACAGCAGGTGGAGGCTGCTGCCGCTCGGACAGATGATGTGATGGATTACACACAGATGAAGATAAAAGCACAACAGATGTTTACAGATGTTTCCTCCACCGTGTGTGTACTGTTGTATCAGACACACGTCACTCGAGCTGCTGCTGTGAAGGAAGCCTCGGCTTTATGAACGTTTAGAGGACGCAGGAACACAAATAGGTTAATCCACTGCTGCGTGGTGCATTCAGGGCCTTCCGTGAACCAGGACAGGTTGTCTATCTCACTCTACCACTGTCCTCTCTCTATTTAAAAAGACTTAAGTGTGTGTGTGAGTGTGTGTGTGTGAGATTAGAGCTAGATACATGAGGTTGATGGGCAGGACGCCATGTTTAACATCTGTACTCAGACTTTTGGTTTTTTGAATCAGACAGACATGATATCTGCTCTCTGATTGGTGGGATCAGGCCAACGGGATTAATATGAGAGCAGCAGCAGGGACACAGACAGACAGATGAAGGTGGACGGACGCTGCGGGCGACAGGAACCAGACAAACAGGTACGACATGCACATGCTGTAAAACTAGCTTTTTATCATTAAAGGTGAAGTTTGTGTGTAGAGCACAAATCAGGATTAAACTGACTGTTAAAAGTAGACGAGGATCAACAAAACTGTTTGACAAAGCAGAAAGTGTATCTAGCTGTAAGGGTCAGGTCAGCTACAGTTTGAGGCAGACATGAGTATAAAAATAAGTTCTGTAAGCAGGTATATGCACTACAGCTAATGTGGAGTCTATTACAGATTGATATAATTCCAGCATCTGAAGTGACGCTGTAATCCTGAGGCAGCTGCTGCTGGCATCATCTACACAGCTCTGATAAATGATTGTGTGTTTGCTGATGAAGGAGAAACATGTAGAAATGAAACTGTAGAGGACCAAGAATGGAGCCCTGTGGGACTCCAGACCCTAAACTGAATACAAGAACCACAGCAGCACCATCTGTTGGCTTGTGGTAACCTCATGACAGCGACCTGTCATTTATGGAGTAGCCACAGCCTAGAGCAGAAGACAAAAACATTCTGCTGGTATTAAAACAACAGCCAGGAATAGCAGGGAAAACTGTGAAAGTCTAAACTGCTACATTGGAGCTCAGATGTGTAAATTGTGTTACAGCGAAGCAGGACATCATCCATACAGGTGTAATTTTATTATTTTTCAAACTAGAAAGCTGCTGTACTTATCCTTTGTTACAAATGTGTGACCCATCTGCATCGTTATGTGTCAAGAAGGTACATGCACGATCATTTTAAGTTTGCTGAAAAAGCTTCTGTATGACAGGATGTTCTTGTGCCAGAGTACAGAAATCAGAGACTCAAACGTTTAGCTTTCTGTTCTGGAAGTTTCTGTACCCTGATTGTCACAGTGTCTTGGATAGACCGCATTTGCAGGAAGGCTGGTAAGACTGTGGGATCAGTCACTGTAGCTACACACAGGCAGCATTTTGCAAACTTGTAAATTATACATCTAAAGCCTGGAACAATAAACAAAACAATACCACACAGCTAATGGGTTCCTGGGTTAAATTGCTGACTTAAGGCCTGTTTTATCATTTCAGTGTCAGCCATGTTTGCGGGTCGGGCGTCAGCCGCAGGAGCCGCTGGACCCTCAGCAGCCGTAGCAGGAAAAGCTGGAAAGTTGTCAGTGGAGGAGCTCTATGGTTTCAGCAAGAAGCCCAAAGTAAACAGGGGGATTTCTGGGAAACCAGAGAAAACGGAAGTGAAGAAGGATGTGAAGGAGAAAGATGAGTCGGTGTTGGCATCTCAGATCCTGGAGGCCGCCCGGAGGCTGATGGAGAGGCGACGCCTTGAGATCTACCTGAAGGAGTGTGACATCACCATGGAGCAGAGGGACATGCAATACAGGTGACATAAAAGACAGGTGCAGTAACACAGAGTAACCACCAGAGGGCACAGGCACACTGAAACACATAATTTGAACCACATGGCAGTTTGAACTGGTTTTACTGGGCTACAGTGATGAGCTGGTTTTAATGTGAAGATAGCTGAACTGGTTAACCTGGAGAGCAGCTGTTACTGGTCAGACCGGTGTGTGGTGTCCTCCTCGGCTCACTCTGATTGGCTCCTGGAGCTGCTGAGTCACATTTCTGTTATTAAAGACTTTCTGCTCCAGTCGTTTATCAGCTCGGTGTGTGTGTGTGTGTTCAGAGTGAGCGCTGCATCATCCCTGACTTCAGCTAATGTTATCATATATAAAACTGAAACAGTGTAAATATGTGAGCAGCTGGCAGCAGCACGCGAGCCGATACCTGATCAATATGTCGATGAACAGACCAGTTTGTTCTGCAGACCGAGGTCACGCTACATTACCAAACACAGTCCTGCCTGTGTCTGACAACCTTCTGTAAAATCATTGGGTTTCAGTACAGAGTGATCCTCAGTGAGAGAACAGGTGACAGACGTCCATGTAAACCTCATTAAAAAAACAAAATAAGCTCAGTGTTTCATCAGATTTCCAGTGGGACGTCTCCACTGGAGAGTTAGTGCCACTGGCTAAATACTACACCCAACACAGATGTTTACATAATAATAAAACAGTAGAGGCCAGAAATCAAATCACTCAGAACTACACTCTTCTTTAATGGCAGCTCTGAATGGGTTTGATTTTTCCATCAATGTATTTTTATTAATAACTGAAAGTCATCAGACCACTTAGCATTAAGCTGAT